TCTGCATCACAAAGAGACATTAACCCACACAGTTGGGACCACAGGGGTTTCTCTATGTGTTCCTGACACACAGAGACCCAAGACCTGTTCATGGCAGAGGTCAGTGCTGGGGTAGCAAGTCTTCCTCCAGGGAGACAGGGGTCCCCATCGGCCTTGCTTCTGACAGTGAGTTCCCAGGACAGTACCATCAGCATCACCTGAGAGCTGGAAGATGCAGACTCTCAGGTCTACTCCACACCTGCCAAGTCTGAACCTGCATTTTAACAGGGTCTACAGACACTCTGTGTGCACAGGGAGAAAATGACCCCCACCACGGCCCTCACATTGAGTCTCACCCTGGCTGGACATCGATGTCACTTGTGCAGCCACTGAGGCAGCATTTCTGAGGTGTCGCCCTGGATTCTCAAAATCTTTGTAAAGTTCCCCTGGTTATTGTGATGTACAGGAGGAGTGAAATCCCTGTGACAAGAGTTCCTGGTGCAGACCCCTGGCTTTTGCTCTGAAGGGAAAGAGAAACAGATGAGAGTTCTGGGGGGGGCTGTCTGTGCACCCCAACCTGTACCTGTGGGGGTGGCAGGACACTGAGCGCCCAGGACTATGCTTGTTTGGCCAATGCTGTGTGTCTATATGTGGGTGTGTCTGTGTGTGTTTATGCAAGTGTGCATCTGTCTCTCTGTGTGTGTCTATGTGTGGTTGTGCATGTGTGTATCTGTGTGTGTCTGTGTGTGTGTCTGTGCATGTATGGGCAGCTGGAGGGAAAGTCAGAGCTGAAGAACGCAAATGTTCTCAGCAGTTCCTAATGAACCCAAACGTACACAGATGGGAAAAGGGAAGAAGGAACACAAGAGGCAGGAATAACAGAGAAGGGGACAGGGAGACCTCCTGGGCAGAGACTCCATCCCCATCCCATGTGAACCTGGGAAGTGCTCCTTCCCTGTGTCCAGGCTCAACACAGATGGAGAAAGGACAGCAGAGCTGACCCGTCCCAGCTGCAGTGCTGTGAGTATTTCTAGAGCCGAAGCTCTTCTCCACAGAGGGAGGACAGAGCAGGCAGCAGAGACCATGAGGCCCCCCCCAGACCCTCCCCACAGAAAGCACATCCCCGGGCAGAGCCTCCTGCTCACAGGTGAGAGGGGAAGGTTCCCTGGAAGTGGGTGGGAGGATGGGAGCATAGAGACTGGCTGTGGTCTGCTGGTGAGGAAAGGACCCCCAGAGGGGACGGGGGGCTTTCGCTTGGAGCCTGAGGGGAGAGGGCAGCAAAGAGACAGAGGAGGCTCAGCAACAGGAAAGATTCAGTGAGCTGGAAATGGAAAGGGGAAGGAGAATCTCAATTGCTCTTTGTTTTTGAAGTTATTCATCACTGAACACTGAATTTTGAAAGCTGATGATAATAACAATTTACATCACGGAGAAAATCAAGAAAAGCAAAAAGAATCAGGGACACTAACCTTTGCACTTACAGACCTCAGAAATTGACAGAAGAATACCGGGATGTGGGCATCCTGAGAACGCTCCTTAACTCTTCCACAGGTATCTGCAGCCTGTCTTAGGCACAGGGGTACAGCAAAGACCACACAAGGCCCTGCCCTCACGGAGCTCACGCTCCACTGGGGAGGAAGACAAAGAGATCTACAAGGTGAGGTCAGGTGTTGTATTAGGCCATTTCTGTTGCTTATAACTAAATACTTAGAAGTGTGTATTTTGTAAGAAAATGGAATGTATCGCTTACAGTTTCCAAGGCTAGGATGTCTAAAGTCCAGGGAACACACATCTGGTGAAGGCCTCGGTGGTGACTGTAATGCAGGGGTCTCCCATAGCAGAAAATGGCAGAGCAGAGAGAGAGAGAGAGACTCTCATCTGCTCTCCTTTTAAAGCCCTCAGAACCACTAGAACTCACGATGGCATGGTCCTTAGAATTATCACCTCTTCATGTCCCCACCTTTTGTGATCATAATAGGATTTCCGATCCTCAACAGTTACAGTGGGGATTAAGCTTCAATGGTTTTGGGGGACCATTCAATCCAATGCTGGTATTGACAAGGGCCATGGAGGGAACAGAGCAGGGAAAGGTCAGAGAGTGAGGGCCCAGGATCTCTAAGGGAGTTGGTCAGGGAAGGCACCTCCCAAGGACACTCTGAATGTGAGCAGGGGTCTGAGGGCAGTTAGAGAGTGAGCCCTGAAGACACTGAGCACTTGTATTCCAGACAGAATGACAAGTTCAGTGTCTCTGGGGAATGGAGGTCACGCTGCTGACCCTACCCTAGCAGGACACACACACACAACACACACACACATATGCCAAGGCTGAAGGATGAAGAGACCTGCTCAGGACTCAGGGCTCCATGCTTCTCTCTCAGTACATACATCCCAATATTGACTGATTTCTCTCTTCCCTCCTGTCCTCACTTGTAACCTCCTGGAACTCTCCCAGCACTGCCCAACTCAGTATGGAATCTGTGCTGTTCAATGCTGCTGAAGGGAAGGATGTTCCATAATCTCGTTCACAATCTGCCAGAGAATACTCAAGTTATGTCTGGAACAAAGGAAAAAGGGTAGGTGCTAATCTCATTGCAGCATATATAATATACACTCAAGTAAATACCCCAGGGCCTGCATACAGCAGTCAAAAGACATTATTCCCCAATGGATCCCTGCTGTTCCAGAACATCACCCGGGGGGACACAGGACACTACACACTACAAATCGTAGATGCAAAGCTCAGCACTGACCAAGTATCTGGACAGTTCCACATACACCATAAGTGATTCCTCTGCACCTCTGGGTGTTTGGGTGGGATCAATTCTACTTCACACACACATGACTGTCAGGCCTGGAGTCTGCCTACATCCCCTCTACATTATGTCCCATGTAGGGGTTTGAACATTTAGTGCAGGGCACACAATGTGGAGACAAACATCAGAAGATCGGCATTTCTTACTCCAGATTTCTGACCCTGCAGACACCGGCTGCAGAGAGAATGACAGTCTGATGGGGTCACTTAGCAGGAGGAGACCAGTCTCAGTCCCGCCCCCAATCACCTCACCCACCCAAGTATATGACCCTGAGGATGATTCTGCAGGACTCGGTCAGGGTCTGGCCTGAGGAACCTCTGGGATCCTCATAGGGAAGCTTAGCCTCAGGAAGCCTCTACTGCAGACCCCTATCCCAAGGTTCCTGATTCCAGGTGACCAAAAGCCTGTGGCCAAGTCTGGGTTTTTGCCTCTTGGGCAGACCTTATGTGGAGCAATGATTTACCAGCTGCTGGAGTCTTATCACCAGTCCGTAGAGCTGGACACCAGCCAAGGCTCAACCCGAAGAGCCATATCTGGGGAAGGGCGGAGCCTAGTCCTTCACCTTCTTGACATAGAGATAATAGACAGACAGGTGCATCAAGATATTAGCCAAATGCCCTTGGGAACTTAGGAGGTGCCCTTGGAATGTCAGCATGCCCAGGGGGAGAAACAGAAGAGAGAAGATGCTCTGGAAGCTCTTTGTCCACCAGGGATCAGGCCCAAGGGCAATGAACATTACCCTTATCCACCAGCCGCAGAAATTGGCAGATCACAATCACAGGCTGGATCAGTCCCTGGACAACAGGACTCTCACTCTACTCAGCGTCACAAGGAATGATACAGGACCCTATGAGTGTGGAACCCAGAATCCAGTGAGTGCCAGACACAGCGATCCATTCACTCTGAATGTGCTCTGTAAGTAACTTCTGTTCCCAGGTGGCCCAGGCTGCCAACCCAAAATCACACAGAAAGAGGCAAGGTCACTCAGTCCCTCCCAGGTCCAAGTACAAAGACCTTCACCCCTGGAACCCAAACTGGCCATGACTTTCTTCCCTAAGCAAATATGGCAGGTCTAGCCTTGAGCCAAAAACAGGAAGTGGGACGCTGCTCCTGTCTTGAGAAGCTCGGGGTCAACAACCTGTGAAGGGAGAAACAGGTTAATGTCTCATACCCAGGCTCATGGTTGAAAATTATTTTTTTCAATATTTTATTGGTCTAAAACAAACATAATGAGTTGCCATTGTAAGGGTTTTTCAACATACAATATTGTGGAATTAATGACATTTCAATGCTGTGCAGCTACTACCTCTAGTTCCAAAACCTGTTTGTCATCCTAAACATACACCTGGTACCCATTGAGCAGTCACAATGAAGCAAGAAAAAATATCCAGGATATATCG